TAAACACAACACGACAATAAACATGACTGTGTCTCTCCGCTGGTACCTCCTGGTTCTCCTCCTCCTCCTTTATTGTGATTCTCTTCATTTCAGACGTGATGTCCAACAGCTCCAACCGCAACTACGGGACATCAGAAGGACACCCAGGTGTTAGTCCGATCCCCATCTATATCCAGGTATTACTCTGATCCCTGACTACATCCAGGTATTGGTCTGACCCCTATGACACGTGCTTCTCGTTGTAGCTGTATATCAATTTGCTGGTTTCTAGCTGTATCTGACTGGCTTGTTTGTAGCTGTGCTCTGATTGGCTGTTGTATATGTATGCCCTAATTGGTTAATCTTCTATCTGTGCACTGATTGGCTGATTTGATTCTTACGTTGTTTTGGGGTTTCAGGGAACATCTCTGCAGCACTGTCGTTGAGTCCAGATCGGACTCCTCCCCTCTCACATCTGAGCAGAGAAAGTAAAATTGTTAAACCATCTCGGTGACATCACTGTCTGGGCGTGAGGTATTACATCATCACCTGTGGCTCTCCTCTGATTGGCTGTTTCCCTCCTCGTTCTCTCTGCCGGTAAGGTTCTGCCCCTCTTCTTCGTCTGCTCTTTAATGTTTCCAGAAAACACCGCCTTCAACAGGGCTCTAGCTCCGCCTCCTCCCTCCCCCACCTGTCCAGGGGGCGGAGCCACTGCGAGGCCCTTCAGATGGAGGAGGAGAGCCCCGCCCCCGGTCTGGAGAGGGGGGAGGCTGCAAGCTTCCCTATGTCCCCTCCTCCTCAACCCCTCTGACTCCGCCTCCTCATCTGACACCACCCCCTGTTCATCTGACTCCGCCTCCCTCCCCAGTAGGAGGAGGGGCTTTTTCTGCGGCAGTTCGGGGGTGATGTCATCAAAGGAGCCCCGCCCTCCCAGTCTCTGGGCCGCCGTCTCCACGACAACGGCAGGCACTAGCGGCGCTGTGGCGGCCTCCTCCTCGGGGGCGGAGTCAGGAATGGTGACAAATGAGGCCGTGGAGGGCGTGGCACCAAGGGGCGGAGTCAAGTAGGGAGGCGTGGAGGACAAGGAGGAGGTGCAGGGCAGCGGGATGGAGGCGGAGTCAAAGTCAACAGGTGTGTCGGAGCGCTGAGGAGAAGGTTCCTCTTCTGACGGAGAAAGAGTTCAGAAACATGGATTTATTTTTATTTAACAGACGTGTCAGGAGAGACGGGTAGTTAGTTAGACTGGTTAGTTTCTAGTTACCTGAACTCTGCTACTTACATACTTTACAAAGTCACACATAATTAGCCAAAACAAACACCTAAAGCCACAAAATAACAACACAGAGACACAAACAACGACAGAGAACCACAAGAAGGCAAGAAAGAGATTCACACAAATAAAAGACAAGAAAAGTCAAATGAACACAAACGGATGCACAAGATAAACATATATCAACAAAATGATGATGAGGACACATAGACAGGCCAGAAAGAGACACAAATCAACCACAAGGAGACAAATCGAACAAAAAGATGCTGATTTAATGCAAAGAGAAATAAAAATAACCTGTTAAAAAAATCTGAAACTGAGTAAAACAGATGCAAAATAAACACAAACGCATGCAGAAGCAAAATGCATAAAGACACACAACAAGAAACAAATCAAATGTTCAGCTTAAAAAAAAAAAGAATCCGTGATGAAACTTTAGTTTTTGGGGTCGAGGACTATTTTCAGCAGCGGATGAATCCACTAAAGCACACAGAACATGTGACTGTGGTTTAAAAAGTTTCATTGACCTTTAAAAGTTGTAGTTTTTTGTTTTTTAGTTTTTTAGCTGAACTCAGTTTTGTTACTTGTGCAGCTCATGAAGTCAGATGTTTGGTTTAAAGGTTAAATCATTTTGATGTAAACAAGTCAAGTTGTGCAATAATAACAGAAAATGTTCATGATGTTACGATGAAGTCACACATTTACCTTTAAAAAAGTCAGAATGTTCACTGAATGCATGAAGGTTTCAAGCTGCTGTTAATCTAAACGTGACGGTTTTTGAACAGTCTGGTTTCTACCTGAGTCCTCCTCCTCTATCAGGAGCCAGAGGCCCGAGCGCCGCTCCATGTCCCAGGGGCTGTACTCCCCCTCTACCAGCAGGGGGCGACACACAACAGCACATCACCAACAGCAGCACGACCACACACAACACGCCGCGGACGCACAACAACACGCTTCAGCTCACCGTCGCTGGACTCCATCTCGCTGCCTCCGTCCTCGCCGTCCTCGTCGCCTCTCTGGCGGAGCTGCAGAGTTTCCCTCCACGAAGCTTCCTCCGAGGTCACAAGGCATCGACGCTCAGCCTCCTCTTCCTCCTCCTCCTCTTCCTCCTCCTCCTCCTCCTCCTCCTCCTCCGAGCTGGAGGCAGAAAACACGACGTCACAGAAAAACTCTCACCGAAAAGTCAAACATTCAGAAGCTTCATTTAAATACTGAAAATATTCACTTCAAAAGTCAAAACATTTGATTGAAAAATGTCTAAACTAAAAAACACCCATAATTTAACTTCAACATTTTGAATTCTGCTCCTTGTAACTTCAGTTCAGCAAGTTTTATTTCTTTACCTTAAAATTCAAATGTGACTTAAAACATCTTAACTTTCACATAAAATGACTCAACTTTGACTTTAAGTTGTGATTTCAGTGTAAAAAATTTAATTCTGTCTCTTAATTCCACCTTAAAAGTGGGTTTTGACTAAAACTTGATGAATGTTCTGCAGAACATCCAGAAGGTTCTCAGAGTAAAACACTTGTTCTGATTCATACTTTATCTTTTCTTTTAGCTTAAAAGTCATAAATGTGACAAAGACATTTGACTCACAGATCAAACTTGTGCCTAAACAGTCGCATTTCACTCAAGAAGTTGTTATTTCTACCCAAAGAATCCACGTTCTGCACATCTACAGCTACAGAACCGGATCTGGGGCGCTGCTGCAGTCAGGAAAGTGTTAAAACCGGAACCAAAAGTGGTTCTTGGCAGTAGAACCGTTTGTAGTTCCACAAAGATTAAGAAGAAGAAACACTTCTTTCCTCGTTTTTTTTTTTTTTAACAGAAAATCCAAAGATCTGTCAAAAACTGGTTCCGTTTAGTACCAGAAATGTGGCTTCAGAGGACAAAAACAGGTTCTTTAAGGAACCGTTTTCAGGATAATTCTTTGGGGACCACTTCGTGCAGTAAAGAACCTCCTAAATGGTTCTTAAGTAATGTTTTGAAATAAATGGTTCTTTAAGCGTTTTAAATCAAGTTGTTCTGTGCAGTTTGGAGAACGAGAACGTGAACAAACGTAAAACGAGCCGCCGTGAGGGGGAACGTAGAACCCAAAAACCTTCAATGAACATGAATGTGGATCTAAACTAAAAATCAAGAACGTGCTGGAGATGTTACCGATCAATTATTAATCAAATATTGATAATTTAACCAAGTGAAAATATAAAATAAATGATTGGCAGATGAGCTGCAGTACCTGGTTCGTCCACCAGGTGGAGCGGTCAAATCCAAATCGTTGAATTAATGGTTTTGTTGTTGACATTTCAGTGGTTTGAATTTTGATTGTTTCGACTGTTGGGAGGTTTTGGGTGGAGGCAGCAGAGAGCATTGTGGGAGTTCAGCAGCAACGGGACCATGACAGAGACTCTGAGGAGGTCCAGGACCTCCAGCCGGCCGGCAGTGAGCTCAGTTTAATCTGATTTACATTTTAAAAACCGTTCTGATTGTTCTCTGACGCTGACGAATCAATCTGACAATAAAGCGAAAACAGGAAACTACTCAGAACTCACTTAATATTTCAAATTAAGATGAAATTTTCCTGAAGCAGCATCGCGATGAATTAAACCAATAAGATGCTTATTTGAGTTGACTTTTAATATCGTGTTTTAACAACTGAATATTACAAATTAATCCAACGAGATGCAAATCTACAGAAGCGTATCGCATTCTTTAAATGTCACTAAAAGAACTTTACAACCTGAAGTGTGACGCTGATGGAGCTGTTTGTCTGTCGTTTTTTTACTATTTAAATTTAAGCAACAGCGAACACGTCTCGGCTCGTCTCAGTCCTGATTTTAAGGCAGCAGGTTACAAATTATCTTCAGTTAAACATGTTTGTTTTTACAGACTGTAATTCAACCAGCTGATCAAACTAATTCATATTTAAAGAGTTTGTAGTTTCCTGTTTCCTGTTTCCTGGTCGTTCAGGTGAGACTCTGACCTCAGGTGAGTCCTGTGACGAGGTTCTGACTCCAGCCGAGCCTCTTCGTCCATGCTCAGGTTGAAGCGGTTCAGGATCTCCTCAGAAACCTCCTCCGGTTCCTCCGGTTCCTCCTGCAGCTCCGTCCTCGAGCTCCGGCGGTAGTTTTCCAGCTCGATCCTCTCCGGCGTCGCCGCCATCACAGAAGCAGCTGCCAACACACCAACGCAGCCGCACACACACACAGACACACACAGAAACACACACACACTAAAGCCCACATTGATTCCCGTTTAAGGAGCATGCTCAGTGCGAACAAGTATGAAGACTGAAAGGACGACCAGGCGAGGCGACTCACCTGAGGACCGGCGGCGGTCCGAGGCCAGCGAGTTGGAGAGAGACGGGCCCGAACTCAGAGACACCTGAGAGACAAAGACCAGGGTTTACTGCTCAGAAACACCTGCAGGCTGTCGATGGTGATCAATAATCAGGTAATCAATCAACAGGTTGTCCCACAGCCACCTGTCAGAACCTGATGTCAGCACATAGAACCATCACATGCTCCAGGCAGAACATCTGTTTAACATCCAGTTCTGACAGATTCAGGACAGTTTAAACTGATTAATCCAACATGTTCTAACAGAACCATGACGGTGTTAATATGTTCTGCCAGAACCAAACAGTTTAAACATGATCTCTTAGAATTGGGACCATGTACACGTGGTGCAACAGAACCAGGACAGTATCAACCAACTCACACTTGTTCTGTCAGAACCGAGACAGTTCAAATGTGTTCTGAATGACCCGTGTCTGTTTAAACCAACGGCTACATGCTCTGACAGAACCAGGACAGTGTGAACACATTCTGACAGAACCAGGACAGTCTGAATGTGTTCTGACTGCAGGTAAAAAGAACTTCAAGGACCAGAACCAAGTTTTTCTTACTATGGACGCTCGGTGTGAAGCAGCTCTGTCGGACCGGGTCGGTCTCTTCCTCACAGTCGGAGCGCTGAGTCGACACTCAGAGGGCTGCAGGCAGTAGAACCTCCCTGAGAACCCACAGAACCAGAGACAGACGGCGTCAGGACAGATGTTGAGGACAGATGTTGGTCTGAACTGGACTGAATCATCTGCGTTTTATAGCGACGCTCGGACCGGCTCCCGCCTCGACTTCAAACTGGGGTCATGTGACAGCTGCGCTCTGATTGGCTGCTGGGCTTTAGCAGATGTCAGAGTCACAATAAACAGTTTGTGTGGTTAAAAATATGGACGGCGATAAAGAACCTCAGACTCGTGTGGCGGTGAAGCCCGAGGCGTCGGCAGGGTTACTGCTGACAGCAGAGGACTCCTCATATCTGCAGCTTCTGTGTCTGAAGCACAACACAGAGGCTGTTTCACCAGAAACTGAAGTAATTGTGTCTTCAAATCTGATGCTTCTCCACGCTGGATGTATCTCCAACAACCAGCTCCTCTGTTCACTGGTTCTGATCCGCGCTGCATTTATTTATCGGTCCAGTCGGTTGGATTTTCCTCCTAAATGACACGTAAAGATATTTTGTTTGAATTTTGAAGCTCAGATTTGCTTGATGTCGATGAAAGAACCACGTTTCAGAGGTGATGCATTCAAGGACTGTTGAAAATCTGATGATTCTGGCTCAAGAATCCGCAACATTTTTGACTCCAGATGTTCTCGAGGCCTTAGAACATATATAATACCAAAGGTAGAACACTTTCCCGGCAATGTTTTGAGGAGGTTGTTGAGGGAACACATTACAGAACGTTCTGCTATAAAACCTTCTCACAATGTTTAGTGATAGCAGAGGAAGAACGTTCTAAGTGCATCATGTAGTTTTGAGAATGTTCGGGCATAATGATGGAACCATATCAAACATTTTTAGAACCTTTAATAAAAACACTCTGGGAACTATAAAAAAAACTAAATAAATAAAAAAGCAAACTTCCCGCTGGAAACATTACAACAACTCTGTAGAACGTTCTCAAATCGTTTTTAGAACAAAGGAACCTAATAAAGTAGGATTTACAGGACTTTTCATAGAACTGTTTGTTCTGCACCACGTTTCTGAATGATCGTTGAAGAAATACATCACAGAACGTTCCTCCATGAAACATTCCTGCAACGTTCCACAGTTTTACATGACAACAAAGGAGGAACCCTGTCAGAACAACGTCCAGTCTGAAGAACGTTAGGGCACAACAGTTCTATCACCAAACATTTTTAGAACGTCTTTAGTTGTCCTACCTGCACGAGAAACGTTCTGGTAACTAATGAGAACTCTGCAGAACAACAGAGATGCTCATGCTCAGTCTGGACAGAACCACCAGGTCCTGGTGGAACGTGCTAACTAGAAGAACCGATTGTTTCCTGACAGGTCAGGATCCAGCAGCTCATCCACAGGGACAATCTGTCATCTGGCACCACAACATGTTCTCGCAATGTTTTCAGTGGGAAGGTTTTTTTTTCTTTAGTTCTCAGAATGTTCTCCTTAAAGGTAGAATAACGTTCTCTAAAGACGCTCTACGAATGTTTGGGTATAGTTCTGTTGTGCCTTAATATTAAAAAACTAGGTGAGCATTGTTCCTTTATCATCATGTAACATTGTGGGAACGTTTTATACACAACGTTCTGTAATGTGTTCCCTCAATAACCAGGCAGAAATCTGATGCATCTAAGAGACCAAAACATACAACACATTCTGAGAATGTTCTAGTAATGTTTTCGATGGAAGTTTTATTTTATGGTTCCTAGAACGTTCTCCTTAAAGGTGGAATAATGTTCTCTAAAGACGCTCCAAGAGCTTGGTGCTTTGTTATAGTGCTGTTATGCTAACGTTCTCAAAACTGGAGCGCGCTGTTCCTTCACTATCATGTAAGTTTTATACAGAACGTTCTATGATGTGTTCCCAAAACAAACCTCGTCAACGTAGAACATTAATGTTTAATAAAAATCATCTGAGGCTTGGAGAACATATGGGAACGTTCTTCCTTTGTTATCATGGAACATTGGTTCTGAAAGTGTTATCCAAACGTCCTCTATACGTTCTTAGTTCACGTTTAATGTTACAGGAACGTTACTGAAAAATATAAAACATATTATAAAACTTAAAAATGGTCAAACTTGTGGGTTACGTTGGTCAACGCTGTGGGAACGTTCAGAGTAAATCCAGTCTGAGAGCAGCGTCACGCAAATCACTCAAACGAATGAAGCCCAGAGCTCATGTGAAGCTTGTTTACAGTCTATAAGGAGAACGCTGCGATGTATGGCCACATTATGTCAGTCTGAAGGCCACACATGGCCCACGGGCCCATGTTTGAATGCCTTATAAGCGTGTGAAGTTGGAGATGTGACCACTTAGCGTTCAACAACACACCACTGTTCTCGCTGAACGAATCGATGTTCAGAACGTCGTAAACCCTGAGATCAGGTGGAACTTTTACGGCTGGACTCGTTAATCTGCACCAAAGCTCTTCACAAGCAGCAGGTTTGATTGTTTTCTGGCTTCTTCTGTCTCACGTTCCTTGTTGTTGATTGTTCTGATCCAAAGGCCACATCGCTCAGGGAGCTTGGTGTTCCTCATCGTTCCTGGGTGTCAGCGAGGCCTCTAGATAAATCATACATGTGCTCCACTTCATTTGATAAAGAGTCTTTATCCTCCAGAGGCCACAGTCATGAGTCTGGTAACAAAGAGCCGAATGTGTCCGCCGCAGAACGCCACCGGCTGCCTCAAAGTATACAGAACCATTGTTCATCTGATCGTAAAACCGTCTGCAGGGTGTCTGTTGATGCTCCGAGTAAACAGATTTTAATCCAGGTCAGTGTGAGAACGTAAACATGAACCATCGTCGAACGTAAATCCAGCGTTTGTCTGCACTTTAAAGCGAATCGTTCCTTCTTAGTTCTCAGGTGGAAACATGTTAACGCCGACACACTCATTGGAACATTAAAATGTCCTCTGAACACTGGATCAGAACTTTAAAACGTTATCAGAACTCATCAGTAATGTTGTGGGAGTGTTCCCTGCCAGCTCGGCGGTGGAACGTTCCTCTGCGGTGTGGAGGTGCAGGTTCGTGTTGGAACTAACCGCTGCTCTGGTCGTAGCCGTACGAAGCCGGTCGCAGCAAACTGCCGCAGGAGTCGCACTGGAAGCAGCTGCGGTGGAAGAAGAGGCCCTCGGCGCTCAGACGCTCCATCACGTAGACCTTCTGCTTGCAGAAGAAACAGACGTCGCTGCAGCCGGAAACCTGCAAAGACAGAAAACACTGAAGGACACCAAGAGACCAAACGAGTCTGAAGCATCAACGTCGTCTTCTGGATTCAAGACTACACATCATCACTGATCACAGCCTGCCGATGGGAACAGGACAAACAGAACCAGAACTAAACTCTATCAGAGGAGAATCTGAAACCAAAAGCTCTGAACGCTGCAGACTGGTTCCTTAATGAGGTTAAAGTGTTCTAGAAAACATGTGAACGCCAAAGTTGTTTCTGCTGGATGAGATACATCCAGCAGAGTTCAAATATGACTGCATTAGTTGTTCTTCCACAAACTGACTCCTGTCTACAGACGGTTCTGGTAGGTTCTGGAGGTAAAACGGTCCTTCCATCATCTTGAACTGGTTCTGACCAACCACCATCACACATGCTGATATGAGCCTGGAACGTTTACCCAGAATGCACTTTGTAAAGCTTTCTCTGGTGAACAATCAGAACCAGAACCACATCCAGGGCATTCAGTACGGGGTGGTTCTGTGTGTTTTGTTGTGGTGATTTTGGGTCTCTTCTGACCGGGACCACCACAGTCCTGACAGTGAAGCACGGAGGTGGCAGCATCATGATATGGGGCTGGAGAAAACTTTACAAAGTGCATTCTGGGTAAACTTTCCAGGCTCATGTCAGCATGTGTGATGGTGGTTGGTCATAACCAGTTATAGACGATGGAAGGACCGTTTTACCTCCAGAACCTACCAGAACCATCTGTAGACAGGATTCAGTTTGAGGAAAACGATTTCTAAAACTACATTTTATCTTCAGACTGAGACACCTGGATGGATGTAGAACTGATCTGGTGTCAGGTTCTAGCAGAACCCAGATGTGTTCTTCCTCCTAAATGTCATGTGTCTATCTGCTGTACTGATGAAGTTCTGAGGCTCAGAAATGATGGAAAAAGTCCATTAAAGTGATCAATCTGGACCCTCCTCTGTGGACTTCAAGGACCTGGACCTCTGGAACATTCACAGTCTGAAGGTAGAACTCTGGTCAGTAGATGGAGTTAGTGTAGATGAAGAAGCAGATGATCAGAAGAGGGAACCCGTCTTACCGCACCAGCTTCCTCCTGACTCTGAATACGATTGGCTATCTGCTCAGCCAATGAGCTCACTCCGCCAGTGTACATACGAAGACACTGATCAGACGACAGACAGACAGACAGACAGACAGACGACAGACAGACAGACAGACAGACAGACAGACAGCCAGACAGACAGACAGACAGACAGACAGACAGGTTACAGCAACAGACCACATCTACAGTCCTTCATTCTCCACCAGCTGATGGGAAATGAAGTGTTTTTCTGCCGACAGCAGAATCAGTGTTGTTGTGTTGAGATGAGAAGGTCCAGCTCAGAGCAGGCCAACGTCCAGCTCTCTTACTATCATCCTGATCAGTGCTTACAGAAGACGTCTTTGGACTCTATTTGGAAATCAGTTTGGATTTTAAGTCGGGATGTTGATCTCGATTATCGGGATCAAGACGTTTTACAACCTTAGCCTGATTATTTCTTCACGTCCGTCATCATCACACATTTGTCATAATGAGAGAACAATTTGTGGATGGACACCAGTGATGTATGTTTTGGAATCTCTTTCAAGACCACTGACATGAGTGATGGACATTTGTCCTGCGCTGATATTCTCATTGTAGTCAACAGACACATAATGTTCTATGTGTCACAATAATGCTGTCGTGTTCAGCACCTGTTTGTCTCAAACTCCTGAGCTCTGGTTGGAGGTCATGAACCTCCTCAGAGTCTCTGTCATGGTCCCACTGCTGCTAAACTCCCACAATGCTCTCTGCTGCCACCATGAGCTGTAGTCTGTAGACGCCTCCTCTGGTCTCTACAGGGTTAGACAGGGAGAGGCTCCACCTGGTGGATCAACCAGGTACTACAGCTGGTCTATGGCACGTTTCCTGACGTGCACGACTTTCTTCTTCTTCTTCTGCCTCAACAGTTAGTATGTGTTCAATCTGTCAAATTATTAACGGCAATCAATCGATTAACTGTTAATTATTCACATCACTACAGACTTATAGCTAATGCTGACTCTGGTGCTTTGCTGCACAGCTGCCTCCTTCATAACGTGTGCAGATGGTTTTATTACGTGCTCAATGTTTTCTAACACCAGGAACTGTTTAACTCTAACGCACCGAGCAGGAGCAGCACGCCTCTAATCCTGCTGTGTCCTGAATACAACGACAATAAAAGCTTTCTGTTCTACATTAGAAAAGGAAAACGACAGCAGTCCGACCCACACTCGTCACATTTGTGGTAGTTTGAGAGTCGGCATTAACGGAGCTGCATCCGTTAATATGAGCTGGATTCGGCGCCTATAATGTAAACACATCAGAGCAACTCAAACTCTTTCAACAGGAGGCAGAAGTTTCCTCCAGACAGGAACAAGACTGAAAACATCACAGAGACGGTGAATGAGTTCATCACAGCAACAACAAGGTTTGAACTTTAGGGAGCAGACTGGTGGCAGAAATGCAGATTTTCTTTTATGCATTGCAGATGTTCAGCTTTCAAACACACACTGGATTGACTTGATCACCTTTAGTTTCCGGGAAGCAGCTCAGAATCTGCACAAGTTAAATGATTTCGGGGGCAATGAAAGCTGGTCTGGACGTCCCTGCAGATGGAAACAAACACTGACGGCGGCTGAAAGAACAACAGGAGGGAAAGTCCAGCTGCACAAAGTGCTCAGTCAGCAAACGGAGCGTCTGAAGCGAGCTTCTGACAGAGCTGCAGGCTGATCACAGACCTGCTCGGCTCCTCAATAGCAACCATTCATGGCTTCTGACTGTTATCGATCACATGAAGCGCCGCCGGGACTCCAAACTCTGTGATCGTATCGAGGTTTCAGGCTGACGAGGACGAGTGCAGCTGGAGGACACGACAACTGCTGAGTCTTTAGTTTCTTAAAGACGCAGACCTGAACTAAAGCAGGAACAATATGGTTCTAACAGGGTTCTAAGGGAGTCCACGGACCGATACCAGAACCCAGGTACCTGCTCATCCCCGCTCAGGACGCCCTGAGACTTGATCTTCTCTTTGAACCGAAAGCTCATCTGCTCCTGTTGGAAGGTTCGTTTTTTCTGGCAGAGACAGGAGACAGTTGGACGGTCAGGACAAACACCAGGTTCACATGACCTCAACGGGCCAATCAGGGAGGGAGCTGCTTGGTTTGGACAAACAGGCAACTTAGAATTTAAACAGGAATATAGTTTAGGGTGTCATGATGACTGATCTTAGAAAAAATGTCCTGAACAAGCGCTGACCTGTCAGACCTGCAGTCAGACCAGGTCCTGTGTTCATGAAGCCAACTCTGCATCAACATCACTCCAAGTTTAAGGAACCGTTTCTGCTGCATGAGTCATTCCATACAAAATCAGAAAAGATCTGCAAAAAAGTTCCTCAATGATCTCCTCAGAACCAGCTGGTTCTGTATCTGCAGAACCTTTATCTACTGACCAGAGTTCTACCTTCAGACTGTGAATGTTCCAGAGGTCCAGGTCCTTGAAGTCCACAGAGGAGGGTCCAGATTGATCACTTTAATGGACTTTTTCCATCATTTCTGAGCCTCAGAACTTCATCAGAACAGCAGATAGACACATGACATTTAGGAGGAAGAACACATCTGGGTTCTGGTAGAACCTGACACCAGATCAGTTCTACATCCATCCAGGTGTCTCGGTCTGAACACTGGATCTGGGTTCTGTTCAGCACCAGTTTCTAGTCATGAAACAAGTACAGGTTTCCCAAAATGACTATAAAACCATCATTAACACCTCAAACTTCTCCTAAATGCCTGAAAACTTCCAAACTGGAAAACGTAAATGTCCACAATGACTCAGAACTAATCCAAAATTAGCCAAAATGGTTCTGAGGGACAAGTTTGTCCAAAATGACTGAAAATTTGATTGAATTAACAAGAGGTTGTCCAAACTAATTCAAAACTTGTCCTACATTTGTTCACATTTAACCAAAATGCAGGAAACAAGTGTCCACAGTCACTGAACACAGTGGAGAACCTTTGTATACTGACAGAACCGTCCCAGACAGACTCAGAAGGTGAGTTCTGGTAAAAACTGACACCAGATCAATTTTACATCATTTTGGACATTTCGTTTTTATCGTTTTGGAAGTTTTCAGGTATTTAGGAGACGTTTGAGGTATTTATGACGGTTTTATAGTCGTTTTGGGAAACTTGTACTTGTTTCATGACTGATGTAGAACTGATCTGGTGTCAGGTTCTACCAGAACCCAGATGTGTTCTTCCTCCTAAATGTCATGTGTCTATCTGCTGTACTGATGAAGTTCTGAGACTCAGAAATGATGGAAAAAGTCCATTAAAGTGATCAATCTGGACCCTCCTCTGTGGACTTCAAGGACCTGGACCTCTGGAACATTCACAGTCTGAAGGTAAAGTTCTGTGTGATTGTCCAGGTGGGAGGACTGATTGACTTTTCATGGAAGGACCCTGGAACGTTTCCCTCCTGCAGCAGAACGATGACATCAGTCAGAGCTGAACAACATCACGGTTCCAGATGTGAGTCCAGTGAGTTGATGTAGGTTAATAGATACCAGACGAGCGAGAAGTGAAAGAAGCATAGAGCTGATCCTTGTTTGAAACTCTGCTGAATGTGTCTTTCACTCCTCTGAGCAGCAGCAGCAGCAGCGCCCCCTGCTGTTTACAGTGTCTCCTTGTATTTTAAACGGTCGCTAACTCAAGCTAACGTCAGTGACCTATAACCCTGTGGCCTCCTGCAACACGACGTCTTGCTCGTCATCGAAGGGGAAAAACAACTATGATTTCTGGGATTCATGTTCCGAATGTGGTCCACTGGGTTCAAACAGGACAGAAGGAACAGAAACACAGAGGAGTTCTGTCTCTACTGGGTTCTACCGGGTTCTACCATCGTTACCGGTCTCCATGATGCTGTCTGAGGCGGAGTGTCTGCTGGTGGAGCGTCTGAGGACTCTGAGGACGGAGGGAGGCTGGACGGCAGCTCCCCCTGCTGGTTGATAAGGGAACTGGTTCAGTTCATGTGTGACGTTCTGTCTGTTTTAAAACCAACCCAATGACGTTCTTACAGTCACCTATGATGCTTTTAACTAAAAGGAACATTCTGTTGTCAGGTGCCGTCTCAGCCATGCTTGTTAATGCGCCCCTTCAATAAACCAATCGATCGATCAATAAACCACCTCTGACCTTCAGCTTCAGTCTGACTTTATGCTTTCATATTAATTAAAATCTAATGATATGTTTAAGTCTTCTGTTTTTGGTTCCAAAAATGTTCTGAAAAGGTTCTGCAAGGTGCTACTAATATTTTCCACGTAAGGTTTTCTTTCTTTCTTTCAGTTCCCAGAAGGTTCTTCTTAAAGGTAGAATAACGAAAGATGTTCTAAAAGTGTTTGGTGATGACACTGTTAGAACATTATGCCCTAACGTTCTCAGAGCATTCTTACTTTGTTATTATATAACATTGTGGAACACTGTGAGAATGTTTTATGGGTTCTATATTGTGTTCCCCCGGAACATCTTTAGAACACTGAAGGCAGAACGTCCCACTTCAGTTATTAAACCATAGCTGGACACCACTTCGACCTGATGTCGTCATTAAATCTCGTTATTGATCAGAAACCAATCGTCTGCTCCCACCTGTCGACGCAGAGATGCAGCCTGAGAAGAAGAAGAAGTTCTGCTCGTAGAAGAACCTTCGTCCAGCTTCGCCTGCAGCTGATTGGCCATCAGGCGAACCCTGGACCGACTGGCTCCGCCCACAAACACCTCCTCGCACAGCTGGCCGTCGACAAGACCGTTCAGGTCACATGACTGGAAAACAGAACCCCAAGTCCAGAAAGACGATTACAGGGTCCAGAGACCGCAGAACCAGAACACGGTATCAGAATCATACGAGTTCCTGTCTCTATTTACGAGTCTTTATCTGCATATACAAGTCATCTACGAGTTCTTGTCTTCCTCTATGAGTCTTTGTGTTCATCAACGAGTCTTTTTCTTCCTCCAGGGAGTCATCTACAAGACACCTACTCTGTGTTTATCGACGAGTCATTGTCTTCATCTACAAGTCATCTGTGAGTCTTTAGCTTCATCTATGAGTCATCTACAAGTCTTTGTCCTCATCTTCTGAGTTTCTGTCTTCGTGTACAAGTCATTTACAAGTCTTTTTCTTCACTGAGGAGTCTTTGTCTTCATCTACAAGTCTTCATCCTTATCTACAAGTCATCTACAAGTCCTTGACTCATCTGTGAGTCATCTCGGAGTCTTTGTATTTTTCTGCAAGTTATTTTCTTCTACAAGTCATTGTCTACATCTACATGTCATCTGCAAATCTTTGTCTTCGTTTTGTCTTCATCTACGAGTCTTTGTTTTCATTTAACACTTCGTCTTCATCTGTGAGCCTTTGTATTCATATACAAGTCATCTGCAAGTCGCCTTCATCGAGTCTGTGTCTTCATCTGAAAGTCTTTGTCTTGACTGATCTTTGCATCTTTCTCTGTTGACTCAGTTCTTTTCTTTAAGCGTCTGTCTGCTTCAGGATTCAACTGTTGATGGAAACATCTTTGAGAAGTTCAGGCGGTGAAACAAAGAGTTGACACTGACCTCCTCCAGCTCTCGACTCGGCTGACTGGTCTTCCTCCTCTTGCCCAGGGCGTCGCTGTTCTCCTGCATAGACTGAGGGTTAGTACCAGGTGAGATCTCAGACGGGGGGTTCAGGTGTGAAGGGACGGAGCTACAGGTACCTTAGGGTTCCTCTTCCTGGACGGACTGGTTCCCAGTCTGCTGAGCAGGAAGGCCGGAGTGATGAGAGCTGATCTCAGGTCAGAGCTCCGAGTCAGGCAGCCTGAAACCAACAAACAACATCAACTGCTTCACCTGCAAACCTGTTGGTCCCATCTTCTGTTTCTGGACGTCTTATTGGTGGAAGAACGTTTTTAAAAGTCTTGGCCGTCATTTACTCGTCATCTCTTTGGTTTCACCTCGAAGGCTTTGCCATCGTGTACAGGACTGTGTCTTCATCTATGAGTCATCTTTGATTCTTTGTCTTCATCTACAGATCCTTGTCTTCATAAATAAGTCTTCATCTACAAGTCTTTATCATCTACAAGTCATCTGTGAGTCTCTGTCTTCATCTACAAGTATGTGTTTATCTATTTGTCATTGTCTTTATCAACCAATCATCTACCAGCCTGTGTCTTCATGTATGAGTCTGATTTAATCTCTGAGTCACCAGTTTTCGTCTTTGTCTACTAGTCATCTTTGATCGTTTGTATTCCTCCTCTAAGTCTTTGTCTTCATGTACCAGTCATGGTCTTTATCTAGGCATCATCAATAAATCTTTGTCTCCATCTACAAGTCAGTCTACAAGTCTTTCTCATCGTCTATGTGTCCTTTTCTTCATCCAAGTCTTTGTCTTCAGCTGTCCTCATCTACATTTAAAGTTTAATTTAAGAACTTTATGCTTACTAGTCTTAAGTTTCACATTTTCTTTAACTCCCGAGTCTTTTCCCTGAAAGACACAGTTTGTGGCCTGACCTGCAGGGGGCGCCGAGTCTTTGAGAAGCTGGTAGAACTGGCTCAGGTACATCACCATCGACAGAGAGTCCGGTTCTCCAACAGACGACATCTCTTCCACTGTCATCAGAGGAGAAATCCCAAACTCCTGCTCGGCCACGTCGAAGCCGAGTCGGGTGTTTTCTTCCACCGCCGACTCGTCCAGGGACTCGAAGTCTCTGAGGTTAAACCACAGAAGAAGTCATCGATGGTTGTTCTGAGCCTTTAAAGGAACATGCTGCTCTACACACTTAACGTGGGTTTAGACAGTCGACATCAGCAACACATTGACCTCAGAACAACATCTTAAAGGACATTTTTATGTCATTAAGCTGTTAAAGACCGCATTCTACAGTCATCTACGAGTCTCTGTCTATATATACGAGTCTTTGTCTTCATTTACAAGACACCTAGGAGTCCTTGTCTTTATCTACGAGTCTGTCGTCATCAAGGAGTTTTTCAGCTATAAGTCATCTCTAAGTCTTTGTTTCCATTCATGAGTCTTTGTCTTCATCGACGAGTCATCGACAAGTCAGTTAGGATGAACTGAACGACCTTATTCTTGAGGATTTGTTTTGTTAGTGTTGTTTCTGTGAAATCAAGTCTGCGTCGTGTCCTGTAACAATCAGATATTTGTTACGATGTGAGATTTCTCTGTTGTGGTCGTTTAGTTCTGTCGGCAGAATTTATGCATTTTTTAAATTATTCCTCCAACGTATTGGCGTACAAACGGAATTTTAGAAGCTGTTTCATTGTAAATATCATGAAGCTGTTTCTGACTGAAAGACGTGCAGATGATTGTGTTATAAATACAGATGGTTTGTGGGTTTACATCAGATCGGGTCGGTATCGGTGGATGAGAGCACACAGAGCGAGGCCACTCTTCCAGGAAGTCGTCAGGTCGGCGACGTCGATGCCGCGGTAACCACGAGTCTGTTCCTGACACCAAGTCAGCAGCTGATTGGACTGAGAGAAGGACTCTGAGAGAGACAGGAGACCAATCAGAACAGAGCTGTCATGCATTTACAACAGGTAGATTCTATTGAACGTGAACTACAACACTGCCTCCATCAGGTCACTCTGCAAACTACAACACCACAGTCATCAGGCTCCGACCTAAACTACAACACTGCCACTACAATGCTCATCCAGTCACAGCGGAATAAAGAGAACTCACCTTGCCTGAAGAGTCGGGGGGAGGGCAGGCGGAGGATGTCACTGCAGCCAGTGTTTAGCCCCGCCTTCTCCCCCGTGTCCACCAGGTGTCTCACCTGAAGATAAAAAACATATTTCTTGATTATTTATTCTGCTTTGAATTAATCAGAGACGGAAAACATGAAGAGAGACGACAGACGGTATCCCTGCATTGACCCATCCATGTGCTCGGCGTTTACCTGGGCAGGTGTGACAGTCAGAGGGCTGATGTTCAGGTATCTCGTTGCTGGATCTAAAGAGAACAGACTGATGTTCTTCTGCATGTTCTCTGGAGTCGTTTGAGGCAGCAGATGATATAAACTTTCTCTGCAGGTCAGACAGATGGATAAACAGACATGATGTGACCAAGTGTGAGACAGCAGCAGGTGTGTCCTGTCCAGGTGTGTCCTCACCTCTCAGCCAGGATGTCCAGAGGAGCTCCACCTTGAGCCCAACTTCTTATCATCCAGGCTGAGTCCAGAGCTGCCAGAAAGCCCCGAGCTACACCAGTTCCCATTGGCCAGAAGGGCTGCAGACAGACAGGTAGACAGACAGGAAGACGGGTTAGTATAGTGTCTGTCTGAATAAAGACTTGTTGTCTCACCTCCAGTCTCACCACCTGTCTCACCTCCAGTCTCACCACCGGTCTCATCACCGGTCTCACCTCCAGTCTCACCCCCAGTCTCACCACCGGTCTCACCTCCAGCATCTAGTCTCACCTCCAGTCCCATCACCTTTCTCACCACCTGTCTCACCTCCAGCAGGCTGTCTCCGACCAGTGTGACCAGTAGCTGGTGTCCGTGGCGCTGGCGGACCATGGCGGCGTTCTCTGATGCGTACATGCAGGTGAAGTCGAACATGGCGACGTCCGGCTGGCCGTAATGATTCATGGCGAAGTCCAGACACGGCAGCTGGTGATTGGTGGAGAAGTCTGCGGCCTCGCGGGCGTACGCTTGCAATGCATTCTGGTCCACGTTGCCCCGAGAGAGGAGCAACTCGGTGTCCGTGAAGTCCTGAAGAAGGAGCAGACATTTCTATGACTTCACATTCGTCTGAGGCGTTCTGTTTATCTCCGACACCAGGTGTGACCGTCACCTGTAGAACAACTCCAGGTGTGTTTTCTACCTGTGTAATGACTCCAGCTGTGTTTGTTGGCTCTAAAATGACTCCAGGTGTGATTTTTACCTTTAAAATGACTCCTTTGTCCAACAGACTTTGTTTCTTTGCCGTCATGACGAAGTAGTGCGTGTCGTCTTTGTAGTACACGATGTTCTCCAGGTCGATCCCTGAGACAGGCACATGGATGAAGGTTAAACACACACCTGGAGGCTCTGAATGAGACGAGTCGTGTTGGAGAACCGACCGGTTTCTTGCCGCAGCTCCTGGAAGAACCTCTGGTTGAAGATGAATGCGACGCCGCTGATCTCCTCCACTTTGGCCTCGGCTGTGGTGTTCCTGTTTTTAAAGTTGGCGGTGATGGCGATGGCCAGCTTCCCCCTGAACTCTTTACGCCTGAAACCTGCAAACGCACAAAAACACAAGAGAAATAAAGTAACTCCTAACAAAAGTCCAAGATTCAAGTAAATTTGAGAAAAAACTCACAATATTACAAAATACTACAAGACTGTCATTTTACAAGAAAACGATGTTTCTAATCATAACATGACAGAACAACACAATTTCTAATCTAAGCTGTAACAGCTAGCATGTGGCTAATGCTAACCTGCAAAAACATGCAGGAAAATATGTAAAATAAATAAAAGAAGGCTTAAAGGACTGTGGCGTGTTGTGTTGTACCCGGCAGTGTGTTCCTGCGTCCATCTGCTCCAATAATAACATCGAACTCCAGCTGACCAATGGGATGAGACTTGGGACTGACCTCCATCCTCCAGCCCACCTCTGCAGGTACGACCACAGGTAACAGGACAACAGTTTAGCAATTAGCGCTGCTGTTTTTTAACTGGTTCGTTATAAAATTGATTTTTAAAATGTGCTAAAAAGTCTTTGCTCTCAGAAAAATAATGGTTCTCTGACAGTTCTTGAGAAGAATCTTTGGTTTGAAGAACATTTTTGTTTAGAGGTTGGTTCTTCATGTACTTGATGTGGTTCTTTAAAGTACTAAAGGCTGCTCATTTGGTTTGGTGGCAGCATGAAATTAGAGGTGGAACCAGCAAATATTTTCATTCTAGATTAATTATTTGTTCTATAAAACATGAGAGAACAGAGAGAAATCATACAGTTCACAAATCACAAACCAGAATGTTGGAACATGTTCTGTCTGACCAACAGTCCAGAACCCAAAATATTAAACGTGATCTAATGGAAGAAACACAGAAATGGAAAAAAAATGTACAATTATCAAGTTCTTTTACTGAAGAAGAACCGAGCGGGTCCACACAGAACCATCCTGACAATATTTTTGTAAAGAACCTATTGTTGGAAGAATTCTTTGAAGCACTATTTCTGGCGCCTAAAGGAACACTTTTTTGAACGTTCTTTGAGATACACTTGGAAGTTCCTTGAAGAACATTTTAAAGGAATGGTTCTTTAAGGAAACTATTGTTGCTGGAGTTCTTCTGCCAGTCTTTATGGTGCCTAAAGGAACGCCTGCTTTGATGGTTCTTTCTGGCATCTTTGGGGGTTCCTTTAATTAAACATGTAAAACTGAAATGAACCACATTTAGTGTTGCAGTTTGTGTTTTTCTGAAGTTTTTCTGTCTTGACTATATATCAGTTCCAACCCGGATCAATAATGATCTGCATCAGCTCTAAAGAACACATCAGTCCACCTCTAGTTTAAGTGTCATTTGCATCTGTAAACAGATTTAAGTTTCCTTCTGAAAAAGCAGCTTTCTCAGGTTCTGATAATCGACCAGCAGTCTCTGTCCTCACTGTGTCGGTGCTGGTTCTCCGGCGGTTCCACCAGGTTCTTAAACTCCACGTTGACGTGAACTTCGACTCCCAGCAGCAAGGCGACCTTCAGCAGCACCAGCTGCAGCTGACGGATGCCTGCAGACAGGAAACATGATGGGACGATCCGGTCGCTCCGATCAGACAGAACAAACAGATCACAGACTCACTGATGTGGTCGATGGAGCCGGCACAGAACTTCCCGTAGAACTTCTTGGCCCCGAGGCCCCGCAGGTCGTGGATGGTGAAGGGCCACAGGTGGAGCACGTTGTTCCTGGAGAACGAGTCCCTCTTCTCCAGTAGAACCACTCGGGCTCCCATGAAGCTCAGCTCCACGGCCGTCCTCAGACCACAAGGCCCCGCCCCGATGACCACACACTGACAGGAGGCAACAACAAGGACAGGTGTTCACAACAACAACAGGTATGGATAAAGTTCACCTGTACTGACGTATCCTTGTTTGGTTCATCCTCATGCAGCCTGAGGGACAATTTTGCTTCTGTCATTTTCATTTAATTTTCGATACCTTTGGCAGCGTCACTGCATTTGGCAAATATTTTGTGGGGAAATTTGAGAGTTTAGCATCAGTTCTCACAATAAATCTATAAAAGGCAGCGTACACTGATGACTGAAGTGTTCTGTTATCGATCCCGTTACTGCATGAAATCCTGCATTCTGTTGTTATACAGTTTAAATCTGGAGCCTTTTAGCTGTTTTCCTGTTTGGCCGATAAAGCAAACAGCTTCCCTTTTGTCCTTTTTAAGTTTGAGCTGTGTTGTAGATCACGGCAGGATAAAAACCACATCAGCCTTTACCATGTGGAACCATGTGGAAATACTGCATTTTTTAAAGTGTTTTTTCATAAAAAAATTTAAACAAACTGGCATTTAAAAGGCTGAAAATCAGAATATTATTAAGTGATCAGGACTGTGGTTCATCAGTCAGTTAAAACAGAAAAAACATTTTTATCTACTTCAAAACTGCCAGATAATATTAAATATAAACTTGTTAGGCAGTTTTTTTGATTCGGACTTTATGGTTTTTAAGGTCTTCAGTGCGTTTTATTAATCTGAAACTGAACAAGAAAGATTAACACATCAGAGTCAATGTTGTTGCTGAAATATTTCATTTTTTGCATTTTTTTTTTGTCATATAAAAGCAACATCATGTAAACAAACTGGTTTTTGGGGTTAAAATCATGAAAATGAATGAATATTTAACACTTATGATCAGTGAAAGTACAAAACAATATAAATATACATCATTCTAATGGTGTTTTTTTTGATGCAGATGTTTTCGTCTTTCAGGTCCTGACAGTGATTTTCTAGAAGCTCTTCTTCAAACTGACCCTCAGAGGCTACAGTAACCTGCTGAACACGCTGAACGCTCACCGTCGTGTTGCTGCAGGCCCGGGCCCTCAGGTACTCCTCCTGCGCCGCCCTCCGGTCCAGTTTGGCCCACAGAGCGTTGGCCCTCCAGTAGTTGAGGCGGCGTTTGATTGGCCGGTACAGCGGCCTCTCGGCGGCGCTCCGGTCCAGCTGCAGATGTTCGCACAGCTGGCCGAAGGAGCGCAGCGCCGCCCTGCAGGTCGCTGCCGACACAAACTGGTCGAACAGCTCCTGAGCTCGGCATGCTGGGTAAGACTCGTCTCCCATGGCGACCCCCGAGGCTGCAGGGCACCATGGGAAGGGCGTCACCTGCTGATGATGTCGCCGACGGACTCCAGCGCGCCGTCAGACTGCAGGTCAGAGGTCAGGACGGAAATACTGGTTTGTGATTGGCTGGAAAACATTTTCATCTTTTGGCAAACAAAAACAAACGACATCATCGGTGGAAAGCTGAGTCGTCGAGGAGCTGCTGAGTTTTCACTGAGAAGATGTTTTGTCGTACAGCGTTTGTTAGTGTTGAGTTTATCTGGAGCAAAATTTACAAAGTCAGAAGGAGCTTTTAAAACGTATTAAACGAAGGTGACTGCTGGTGAACGCACAGCAGGACTTCACACGCTGTTGGCTTGGATCAACTCAACAATGAATGCAGCTGTTTGCATCAGTCTTTCTGAGTTATTCCAACTTCTAAAGAAATCATGTTGCACAAACAAACAACACAGAGTCCAGGTAATAGATTAAAAATGAATAAATGCAAATTCTGGTCAACAGTGCAATATATTTATTCTACCATTTGGCTAACTGTACATACTTCCTACTGGCTCCTTTTGTAAATACATGTATATATTCATATTTGTCCTTTATACTTTTTGTACTTCTGCACCACTGGAGTTGTCTTTTAGTTTCACTGTACCTTGTGTATGATGACAATAAAAAGCATTCTATTCTATTCTATTCTATTCTTAAAAAAAAACAAAAAAACAGGAAATGATCTATTTTCTGACCAAGTTTCTTCAGTGAACTGTAGGAAGCTGAAGGGTCAGAAACCTGCAGAGAACCTCAGACCGTCTGCAGCACAAAGACGAACTGGCCGACGTCCAGACGTCCTGCTGATAAACCTGAACGCCTGCTGAGACCCAGATTCACTTTCTGTGACCTCCAGAGTTCCAGGTTCCTGAAGTCCATAGTAGTTGGTTCACATTTCCATCAGGTGAGACCAGTGACAGGCTCAGAACCTCATCAGTCCAGCAGATAGACACATGAGGAACACATCGGAGTTCTGGTAGAAGCTGTCGGTTTCTTCCTCCTAAATGTCATGTGTCTATCTGCTGTACTGATGGAAAAAGTCCATTAAAGTGATCAATCTGGACCCTCCTCTGTGGACTTCAAGGACCTGGAACTCTGGAACATTCACAGTCTGAAGGTAGAACTCTGGTCAGTAGGTAAAGGTTCTGTAGAACCAGAACCAGGGAAGTTTTTACACATTTGGTTGATTCTATCTAGAAGACATCTTTTCACTTTAGGAGCTTCAAACAATAAAAACTAATCCTTCAAATGTTCAGCCGCTCCCTGCTGAAAGGCGACCGATAAATATTCAGTTAAATATAGAATGAAACCAAACAAAACCGAGAAAACCTAAAAACAGACGTTTAAAAAACTATTCATGACAGAGACGAACAACAAAACCAGCAAAGTCTCATATTTTTAAAAACATTTTAAACAGAGCGTCAGAAAGTTGAAGACGCTGAAAGCTGAACATCTCCTGCTGACACCTGACGATGTCATCATGATGTCACTGTGTTTCAGTCACATGACAGCAGAAACAAAGGCGCTGTTCAGAGACGACGTCCATCAGTACCAAGCACCAGCACACACGTTTGTCATTAAAGCTCCATCCAGAAACAAAAGCCTCTTTATCGGCCATCAGACGAGAAACAGAAGCTGCTTCACTTCATCTGGATTCTGTGACTGAATTTATGAAACAACAACGAGGCTGCTGTCGATGAGCTGTTTCATAGCAGCACGCTGTCATCTTTAAAGTTTAACCACATACGAACAAGTGTTTATGACTTAACATTCAGATTTATCTGGTTTCTGTTTGCACCCAGCAGATCACAGAAGATGTTTTATGTGAAGAGTCCAGCTGCAGAGCTTCTGTCATTATTATTACTATTCATGTGCATCTCTTCTGTCTGCATGAATAAAGTAACTGTAATTATCTTGTAAGTGGAAGCTGAAAACTTTAACTTCTTGACCTTAAAGACAGCTTACTAATCACACAGATTCTGTCACATTAATAAACTCTACTTACAGTTTACATGGAGGTCGCAGTAAAGTGACAAAACAGCTGAACAGAAACAAACATCAGCCTCAAGTTCACCTACAAACTGTGAAAGCAGATAAATGTACTCACGTCTCTGAGCTGCCGGCCGTCTGCTGCTCGACTCCAACTGTGACTGCTGACCGCCACCGGCTAATCCACGCTAATCACACACACACACACACACACACACACACACACACACACACACACACACACACACACACACACACACACACAGAAAAACCTTCACGTTCCACAAATGTCCTCACAAGCCCTCCAATCACACTGGTCCCCCCAAAGTGGGAAAACAAGAACGCTGACCAAGAGTGTGTGGGTGAGGTCGGGGGCGTGGCCTGAGGAGAGCAGGCCCCGCCCCTAAGAGTCAGACAGACAGAGAGCTGATCCAGATCCTGTCCTAATCTGGCCGTTAACGAGCTTAACGAGAGCCGACCGGCGAAAAGATCATCTTAACCAGCGAGGAAGGAGTACAACGTGCAGCGCCACCGTGAGGTGACAGTTATCATTACAACAGTGCCGCCAAGAGGCCGCTGGAGGCATTACACACTGTCACACAGCCATGGACAGACGTCGCAAGGCTCAGTTTAATAAAATCTAAATCCTATCAATCATCCACACCAACAAAAAAGTTTTAAGGCACAAAGCAAGAACTTGAGTACAAGCCAGAAAAACATGGACACACGTTCTGGCCTCCAGACTGAATGCAGATGCATCAGCGCCACCTTAAGACCACAAAGTGTATTACAGAGAAAAAAATAAAGACCTGTTTCAAAGTCAGACAGTCAAACTGACACATCCTCAGTGGAATAAATAAAGTCTACAGGGTTTAGATCACCAACTTATTGACAAAATGTTTTTTTTTTTTCACAGTTGTATAAAAGAAAAATTACGAACAATCAATCAATCATGAAGACTTAATTGACTGATCAGAAAAAGGTCTGCTCAGGCTCCAAATAATTCTCTTTTCAAGCCTTTTAGCCCCAAAAACACCCGAGAAACATCTTTCACGTGACATTATTAAATGATATTTGGGTAAAACGGACACTTGAGTCGATGAGCTACCGAGCGGCCACGGTGGAAATAACATCAGTCCCAGTTTACCGACAAGCACCAACAAAAAACGTTATGAGAGACAAGAAATACATGTAAATTTAAATGAAGTTTAAGACTTAGTTGTTGTATTTTAAGGTGGCGTCACAGAATCATCACGAAGCCACGTTATCTCAGAGGGTTAATCTGTGGACGGTGGCCTTTTTAGGACATTAGATTTCTCCAGATTGATCAGATTTTTATCTTTTCAGACACACAAACACATTGACTTCTCCTGATCTTCACAGTGGGATGAAAATTTAAACTAAATGTGACGAGAAAAAGAAAAACAAAGTAGTTCAACAGAAAACCCACAGATGTGACACAGAAACACATTTCATAAGCAGAGCTGCAACAATTAAGTCAATAGTTGTCAACTATTAAACTATTTAGATAATTAATTGATCAGTTTGAGAATTAAAACAAAATAGAAATAGCTTAAATTCTCAGATTTATAAACATGAACATTTCCTGGTTTCTTTCCTCCTCTGTGACGGTAAACTGAACATCTTCAGACAAAACAAGACACTCAAGGAAACACTGGTGCACATTATCCAGCATTTTCTGACATATTATAGACAAAACAAGTAATTAGCAAAAACAATGAACAGATCAGTCGATAACTGAAATAATCATCAATCGTGGAGCTTTAAAGACGTTTAAACAAGTTAATGTAGTCGTCCAATGGTTAACATACCTTTGAATATCCATAGAAAATATAAATATATTTACAGATTATTTCAAAACAAAAGCATGAAATAAAAGATGGAATCAGTCTGTTTGATTTGAGAAGTTGCCAAGAAAACGGAATCAGTTCCACGAAGCTGAAATCATTCAGAAACGTCTTTTGTACAAAACAACACGAATCAGAAAATAATGAAAGCTACATTTTTTATTTTACAAAAACCAGAATCAACGCGTCCAACATTTGTCCGAGTGTCCACACGTGTCACCAACAATGAGAAAATAACGTACATACAACAGATATTTAACTATTTACATGTTCAGTTTGTTTTCACACTTTGTTTCGTGGAAACACTGCCTGCAGTTCAGTCTGGACAGAAACTCCCTGATGTTCTGGAACTGTTGGTCACAACTAATGATTTCTGTTAGTTTTTACAAAATCTCGGTTGTGTAAACACTTTACGTCTGTTGAACTTTTCAGCGAGACAGAATAAATAGATCTGGACCAAATCTAGGTTCGGTTGATTTTCCTGATGGAGCAGCAGTTCACAGATGAGGAGTTCAAGGACAGTTTGAAAGCTAAACATCAGACGATTCCTTTTGTTTTACAGTTGACGGTATTTAATGTAGAGGTCACTTCATGGCGATTCAAATCCCTGAGCAGGACAGCAAACGTTTAAACCAGAGAACTTCTGTCTGATACTAAACTACCAACGTTCATTCATAAAATCATGAACACAAAATGCAGTTTTGTAGCTTCCAGGGATCTTTTACTAAAAACTGAATATTATCTTTATAATAATGTTTTCATCAGCGACCACCTGAGAGTATAAATCAAAGTATTTTTGTTCTGTTAGACTGAGTCCTTGATATTTACTTTAACGAAGTGACAGCAACAGCTGAGCTCAGCGACACATTTAATGTCTTCACACATGTAACAGATAAAACAGCAGCAGTTTGTTGTTCGGCGGCGTCATCAGGAGCTTTGCTGGAAAAATAAAAGTGATTCAAGTTTTTATGTTTAAGTTCTTAATGAAGAAATTAATTTAAGTTTGTTCAGAACGTTCACGGTGACGAGTTTCTCACCAGCAGAGCTCGTCCTTTAGTTTCTATCGGCAGCAAGAAGTTTCCCAGAGCGCAGAGAACACAGGCCACCGAGAACGGACTGAGAGCCAGGAACACCGACTGGGACATCAGCACCTGAAGGACACACAGAAACACCTGAAGTACGCATAGAAACACCTGAAGTACGTATAGAAACACCTGAAGTACACATAGA